CCTGTAAAAATGAATAGACTACACACTAGTGAAATTCATTTAAATGACATTGTCAAAGGAAATGCAAAATTTTTCCAGGGTCATAAATATGACAACCAAGCTACAAATTCAGTTCATCTCCAAAGAGATTATTTTAAGTATTATAGCTGTGGCCAGCTGGCTGCATTTCTGGCGGCAAGTCTTGTGCTGACAAAAAACAGACAAATACTGCTACAATTCGAAAAACGAACAGCTACACACAGGTCAGAGATAAAACACATCCACTATATGCTGTACTCAATCCAAACTGTCCATTACCACTGGTTGTAGATCAGTAGTAATAACGTGCAATGGGCTACAATTCACAGTCTGGCATACAGCACAGTTTACTCAGCTTGTGGCTCTGTTCGTAGTCCACAAGGTAAATTCTCCAACTGTGAATACACATTCCCAGGGATGCAGGAAGCATACATTCAACTGATCTATTTCTACAGTTTCCATATGGTTTAAGCTCGAACTTCCAAGAGGAGTTATTCGTCAAGGAAATCTCTTAAACTCAGTGATGTACAAACATCCAGCAGTATCCATTTCCAGCCTGAGTAAATTCTGTTTTGCTTCAGGTCTAATAAAAGGAGGCAACATGTCGTAATTTATTTTTCTTCCATTTTGCCGATGGTATGGAAGCTACGTCATTCATGCATTGTTAATACAAGACTAAGTGCATTTTAAAAAACAATCAAAGATCAAAGTCTAGAAAAACAAAATTCATCAAAGAAGTATTTCAAAATGGACTGGTACACAGGAAAAAACTGTTCACATAAGCCTTTTGATCAAATGGCCAGTGAAGGGTGAATTAGCAAATGCTACACATCTCTGCTGCCTCAGGCAGACAAACAAGAACAAAAAAAAACTGAGCACCTGCTTAATGCTACTATTTGCTTCCTATACTGAGCCTTAGAAAAATAAATAAACTCTCTTTAAAAACCCCTCTCATCATTGTCTATATATGCCAGGCTCTCTGTTCACTCTTTTTAGCTCCAGATGTGAGTGGTCTCTAATGACACACATTATCTGACTGTGGAAGCAGCAGCAGCAATGCAAATTGACAGTAGATAGCAAATACACTACAGTGAATATACTACATATACAACTAACCTACTACATATATCACACTATCCAATCATATTTACGTTAGTGTTAATAAAGTTAATGACCCCATGTTTCCTGGGGTTGTGCAACTGCTAAAAGAATTTCTTATACACCTTATATAGCTTGTTTTGATTGGGCTGTTTTGTTATGTCTGCTGTTATGTTAATGCAGGGCAAGACTGGCCCATACAGACCTTTGATATGGCCCACCAGAAAGTTACCTTAACCCACCCTCTCACCTAAAGAGAGATCAAACGTATTTTTATACTATATATAACTTAATAAGTTATGTATATTTCTATAATTATGGTGTTTTTAATCATAATGCAGCATTAATATTTCTTGTGTATGTGTAAAGCCCACAACCATGGCATTTTCTGCACATTTTTGCACACATTTCTACTTATTTGCTGAGCTTAACACATACATGTGCTATAAGTTTTTTACACAGCCCACATTTTACGTTTTTTTCAGTAAATATGAAGTTATTGTGCATTAAACATGCAGCATTGTGTTCTCTGTAGAGGACGTGTACTCACTTTCACTTAGAAAATCAACAAAACGTAATTTGAGCAGGGGTGCCCAAACTTTTCCATATGACTATATTTAGTAACAAAACACAGTGTAATGTTGCAAAATACATTTTTAAAAAGATGCATTGCATCAGAAAAAGATACATTCTTTTTTTGTGTATTGTTTGGTCACCATCAACATTGCTCTTTAGACCCCCCAAGACAAAAAGTTTGGGCACCCCTGCACCAAAGAAGGATCATAGTTTTGTGAGGCTCCTGGTCGCAAGCATCTTTGGAGGGTCTCCGAACTTCGCCAATAACACATAATAATGTCTTTTCTGTTTTGGAAATGAAAGGAATTAGCCTTATTTTAATGAATTATTATATTGTTTCTCCTTCATAACAGTTTGTGCTTTTTGTCTACAGTTGTACATCTGAAGACAAACATGCATCATAATTTCTCTTTTCCTTTGAAGTTGTAATGAACAAACAGAAGTAGTCCTACACGCATTGTAGGGTAAACACTAACACCATTATCCCACACTGTCTGGCTAAAACCCTAAATCACAATACGGGTATCCCGGTATAGACAATATATTGTGCAGCCCAAACACAACACACTTCTTGTAGTTTGTTATGCCAAGCATGGCCCGGGAACACAGCCAGTACTCTCAGATTCGTCCCAAACTGTTGGTTTGTCTGTCAGCATTGGCTAAATTTGAACAGCCTCTGAATATGACGAAAACTACTTCAAGGTATTTTTTTTCCATGGTTAACTTGGCTCTAGGAATCAATCTGTCATATCATCAAAGTTACAGCTGACATGTCTGTAAAATACATCAAAGCAAGAGACAGCGAGCAGGACATGAGCTCTCACATATGTTCTATCATTTCATCATGTGCTATTAATTTGAAATTGCTTCCTCAGGTTTGGCTCTCAGTCCTCTTCTGAGGCAGTCATGGACTTTCCATCACATATAAATATCTTCAGTATTACTCCATAAACGAAGGCAGACATCCATGATTCATGAGGTGCACTGATAAACTGGACATATCAGCACAAGTTTTTCACCACTGAAAATAAAATAAAGTACCTCAACTTTAAATTCAAGGCATGCTTCTATCGACCCTATATGTGTATAATGATAAACACTTAGGCTAAGCTAAGGAACGTGTGTTATCAGCCTGAGGGAGCTTTCCCTTCTCCCTGGTATCTGACAAATGAGAGAAGGAGAGGTTACCTGTCAAAACCTCAAGTGTTCCTATTCTGAGAAAGCTGTTTATGTTGAGTAGTCGCCAGCTGGCACATGACAAGATAGCTAATTCCACCACTTATCTGGTTAAACATAGGCCATGCATTATGAGTAGAATACACCCCTCAACACTGACCTGCACCTAGCTTCAATAAAAGACTAACATTAATCAATATTTAACACTTTAATGTCAAAGCAAAAAAGTAGCCATTCCTCTTTTCCTTTTAAGAAGAATTCCACAGATTTCTCAAAATTTCTGCATAATGCAGTGGCTAATATAAACTCATTCAGATTGATCTGGTGTAAACTGGTGCACTGTAGAGAAACCTATGTAACTTTCTTCATGGTGGTAGTGAGAGGAACTAGTGCTTATGTCTACAATGCAAATATTACCATTTTATCTAGTACCTAAAACAAACACTGAACCTACACGTGTCTTATAAATTTTTAAATGTAATGCTGACAATAGCAAAGTAGTTGTAAATCCAAAAGAGTAAGTTTTCTTTGGGGACTATTTTGCCTTCCAATGCCCTGCATGTACCTCTTCACCATTGTTTTAGGGCCCAAACATCATCTCAAAGGTGTTGTAAAACAATGTCTCATGCATCAGGTAGTCCATTTGCAGCCATTTTGTGTCATAAATTTCTGTGACACTTTACACGTATCAGACATCTGACACCTTTCACCACCACTTTGAACAATTTTGACATGGCAGGTTTTTCCGGAATGGAGCATTTCAAACCACTCTGTGTGACACTGTTTATTATGCAAATGTGTAAAAATCAGTGAATTCCCATATGATAACACTTTCTCTATGCAGATGTTGCATTTATTTTGACAAGTAAAGAACATCATCCAACAATGTCAAAAAAATCATAGGTTATTATTTTATTTTAACTACCAAGTTCAACCATGGAACTTATGCAATGGTGATCCTATGCATGTATCAGCTAAATCTAGGAATGCCAGATATGGAGGGAAGAAGGAATAATGTTTGGCTCATTCCTCTAGAATCTCTGTACACAATTAGCTGACCTTTTCATCCAGAGGAGATAGATGACTGCACAGCCATAATGCTTAAATAATGAAAGAGCTGTGTCTGAGTTAGGGGGAAAATGCCAAATAGTAATTAAAATGTGGCAAGCAAAAGACGGATCGAATCATTAGATTAATGCTTTTTTGAAAGCAATGTCAATACCATGCAGCCCTAATTGTGAAAGGATTAAACAAGGAAATGGTTTTGCACTTTATTATGAAACCTGGGGAGAAAACTTTGATTAAAAATTAGTGCTTTACACTGTTGGCATGGTGCTTGTCAGGTGCGAACCTTTAGATTTACACAGATTTATGTGGACTATGACTATATAGAGTTTCATTAAGGCATATTTGGGCATTCAGTTAACACAGTTTCACAGTTCCAACATAAGTTAGAATTAATTACATGGAGTCAAACTATACAAAATTTTCAGTTCAAAGTCATAAGTCACTTTACAGGCAGTGGTGTGTTTATAATCTTTAGAGTCCTGTATTTGTGTAGATTCTCTGAGCTCACTAACTGATACAAGACTGTTTTGTTGTGTGTGAAGGATTGTGTTAACTCGTGTGGGGCTGAGTGGAGAGGATGTACTCAGCAGGAGTGGTATTTGGCTTTGGCGATCCAGCCAGCCCCCCTGTGTTGAATGTTTGCGCTAGCTCTCACATTTCCAGTGACTAGAAAGAGCTTGTGCTGCTAACGTGCTGAAATCAACCGTGAAGGCAAATTGTGTTCATAAGCAGTGCGAAATCGCGGAAACAGTTTAATAGGCAAGCTGCCATGTGAGCTGTGAAAACAAGTCACTTCAGGCTTCAGGAGAGAGGCCCTTTTGTTTAGCTCTGTCATACAACACCATGTTCAATATCTGGGCATCACCATTGTCTATGAACAGCTGCAGACATCATTTGTTCTGTGCTAATTTGCTAATTACACAGAATTGCGGTATGTAGTACCTGGTCAATGTCGACTCTCAATCAAAAGGGTATTAATTAAATTCTCAAGCACTCGACAAAGCACAGCCACTTGTGCATTCTGAACAGTGATTAAAATGAAAACAAAGCACTTGTTTACTCACCCTCGTGGGCCTTTGGGAAGGAGCTGAGGGTGTTTTCTCTTTCTTCCCTCTCCTCCTCTCCTGCTTCCTCGAACAGGCTTTGCGACTGTTTGGTAGGTGGCTGTCTCTCATCTGCTTTCGCTCTAAGGGCTGGCTGGCTGGTTGGGCTGAATCTTACAGAAGGAATCGTATAGCTCTCTGGTTTGGTTCCATGCTCTTTCGAAGCTTTTTCAGATGTCACTGATGACGCTGATGTGCTTTCCTTATCATTCAAGTTGCTAACAGTGTTTTCTTCCTGTGTGCCATCCATTCCACTAGATCCATGATTTCTGTTAATATCTGTGACATTACTTAACATGACTATTCTCTCTTTGCTGTCCTCATTTGTGATGTCCTCTCCTATTTGAGTTCCATAATCCTCCCTAGCTTCTGTTGTGAGAGACTGATTCTGAAGACTGGAAACTGTGTTCCTGGTAGTTTGCCATGTTGGGGTGGTCTCAATTTTCGGTAGTTCAGGTGTAGTCAGATCTACAATCACTGGAGAGTCAGTTACTGCTTCGCTGTGTGTGGTGTCCCCATACAAGTCAAACATCTCAGCATCTGTGGTTCCTGTAGGAGCAGCAAGGCCTTCACTATCTGTATTGCTTTTCTCAAGTGCCTCTTCATTGACATTGTCTTTATAAAGGCTAAAACTTTGTCTTTCTGGGGTGTCTCTGTCAATAGAGAACTGTTCTTCATATGTCATCTCTCTGAACACAGGAAGTTTCTCTTTGCTTGCACTATCATCAGGAATATTAAATTTGGGTCCTCTAGTCTCATCTTTAGTAATGCTTAATATGTCTTTCTTGGGGTTGCCTTTATGAAGAGTGTATTTTCCCTCATCTGTCCTCTCTTTATGTAAGGGAAACCATGGCCTGTCTGTGGTTGCTTCATGAAAACCAAATCTCTCCTTAAGCTCCTGCTTGGTCCCCCTGTGGAAGATCTGATGGGGTGTAACGTTTTCTGGATAAGAATCTGAGATAATGGATGACTCTGTAGGAGACACAAGGTCATGCCTAGATGGCTCCAAGGAATCTGTAGGAGGGTAGTCATAGTCTTCCTCCTCTTCTTCATCCATATGGCTTTTATGTGGGTTCACCCTGAAAGCAGGCAGGCTGTCACTGTGAGATACTGGAAAGGCTTTGGAAATAGAACCCCTTGAGCCTTGATGGTTGAAGATGTGTTGGATAGGGTCTTTGTGACGCCTCCCCAGTGGATTTTCCTCAGTGGTGGTTGCAAGCATGGGCTTATGGACTTTCCTTGGATCACAGTCTGGGATAGGGTAACACATTAATTTCCCACCATCATTGGGGCAGTGACAGACTTGGCAGGGATCCATGTGGAAAGAATGCCCAGCTTGATACTTCTGCTCCTTATACACACAGCCAATACGCTCACATTGAATACATCCATCCGCAGGCTCCGATATCTCAATGCAATTCACTGGAAGCTCAGGACAAGGAATAAAATGGCAACTGATCCTTCCACCTCCCATAGGGCAAGAGCACTCTGTACTTCCAAAATCCACAAAGTAAGACTCTCCTTCAGGCACTCGGCCTTTTTGGAAACCAGCATTCACACAGTCATAGTACTGGTAGCCTTCACACGTGCAGCCGGTTTGGACACAAGAGGCACAACAAGAACCGACTTCCAAAACCTCCTCAATGCAGTTCTGAAGAAGAGGGCAATCCACTCCAGTGCAGTCTCTCTGGCAGAGACCGCCGCTCACACAAATCAAAAGCATCAACTTCAACAGCCCCATTCCGACAAGTGGGCTGCCAGTTGTTTGCATGCAAATGTTTACTGGTTCTGGTGCAGCTGACACCACTTTCTTCAGTCTTTGAGGATCTGACAAAAGGACCTCTTTTGACTCATGAACTGGCGGCACTCAGCTGAATCTAGAGAAGAGAGTGAGAGAGAGGCAGAGAGAAAGAAAAGAAGGAGAGAGGCAAGTTAGGGAGTGTGCTGCAGATTTCCTGTTGAGCTCTTTCAGCCAGCCCAAAGTTATGGATTGAAAGCCAACATCTGGCTTCATAGTCAAACTCAGCCTCTTAAGTCCATCCCATATCTTAAAACCACAGGGCTGTTCAATCTCGGCGTTATTTCCCTATAATGATTAATCTCCATGGATGGCGTGGGAGTGAATTCATCACCATTATTTGACAGTCAATAAGGGTGGTGCATGTTTTTGTTTCAGTAAACACTGCACTAACAAACATGAATATTAGTACATTGACAGGAGGATCCAGACATTTGTATTACATTCATGCATTGCCTTTAAATGCTTTTGCAATTGTGTTTGGCAATTCATAACACAACTGTGATTTGAAAGAAGGTCTTTGGGGCCCATGCCCCTTACTTACAGCCTTGCAACTCCAGATGGTTTTGATGACTGAACATTCGGCAAACTTAGGTCGCTTATTCCAGTCAGGCAATTTGCTGATGAAGTGTTATGGGTGACTTACAAAGTCATTCAACAGCAGCATTTTTTCTAATAGTGACAACTACAGGGAATCCATGGGCCACCATTTAAAAATGGAGACGTACCCCTTTCTTTCCTCCTCTTTTTCTCCAGTATTTGCTAAAATGCCTTTATATTGAAGGCTGTGCCTTGGGTATCATGTGGGCTTCAGGTTCTGTTTGCTTTGGAGAGCTTTCAAGCCCTAAGGATCTGAACCTTCAGATGCTCGCTGCAGATGAAGGAAAACACTTAGTGAGTTTCCAAAGCATATATTACCCCTAATGTTTCAAAGTATGGCCAGTGAAACAGTTTATCCAAAGAGATTAGGCATTAAACTGCAGAAGGATGTCTGTGCATGCATGCTAACCTGAGGGTTTTCAGAGCACTGCCACTAAAAACAGTTTACCTGGCCTGTTTTCTGACATCACGGATAATCACTAACCCCTAGTAAGAATATTCCATGCAGCCTATCAATATCATCACAATAAAGCAAGTAAAAGATTTTAAATATAATATAAATATTCAAAAGCATATAAAGAATGATTTAAACACAAACTAGCATACATTCTATATTGAATTAGACAAAAGAAGAAGAGAAGAAGTGCTGAAGTAACGCAAGCCATTAAGAGTTAAGAGTACATGACAACAGATTCCGTTTTAGGTAGGTTTTCTGAATCACTATGTTTAAAAACTCACTCATTGTGCTCATAAAGCAGGGAACTGCAGTTAATTTACTTCACCATCCCCAAAGACATGGCTGGATGTCAAAAAAAGACACAAAACGCGCAGCATTTTCGACTATATCCCCAAAAACAACTAGTTTAATCGGTCGTGTCTGCAGTGCGCGCGATCAGAAAGGGCGCGAAAAAGAAACGGTGAAAAAAGTTCTCCTACCTCGAGACGCTCCATCCAGCAGGAAAAGTTCCACTTTCGCCTGCAGCCTCCACTGAGCTGCACAGCTACGACCCCACTGAGAATATCTGAGGGGAGGGACAAGTTACAGACCTTTCCCCACTGTTCTTTTTAACAGCACTGGTCCAAATGGGCAGAAAATGCACTACTTTCAGGCAGTTTTCCTCACAGCTAACAATAACAGGCTTTAATTTGCCCAACACAGAGCCTGAGTGAGTTATGCTCTGTTACTTAGCATGCTTAGCATTATTTTCACACAGAGATGAGTCATTGTTTCTTCAGCATGTTCTTGGTTTCTAGCACAGCTCCTTGCAAATAACGTGGGCAAACACGTTACCACGGAAAAGGGGAAAAGAGAAAAGAAACAAGTGAATATAAAAGTTTTTGCTCCAGAAGTCATTAAATCGTGGCTGTTTAAAGACAAATAAGTGTCTCCAAAATGGCAGTTTTACAAAAGAAGGCAAAAACTTTAATGTAAGTCAATTTAACTTGAGATTTTATTCCAAGCAATTTTGGAGCATTTCTATTGGTCCAGCCATCAATTTTCACACAATGTAAATGGCAGCCTTTGTGCCCAAATGATACAGAAAAATTAAAATAAAAAAGGAGATACCTGTCTTTTTGGACAGCAGTGTAATGCTGAGTCATGATATATGTCACTGGAAGTAAGCTTTACATAAAACATATAAATGCAGTGTTTTCACTTTTATCAGTGGAAGTTTTTTGACAACATACACTGCATTTTCAGCTGCTACGATTTTATTCTTTTTAAACCTTGTTACAAATATACAGTATGCATACACAGTATGTTTGATTAAAAAAATGTAATTGCATTGAAACAGTGCTATCTCTACTTATTTACTGCTAACAATAGACAAATAGATCAATTTGCAGTGGAAATCGTGGTTACGTCAGTGACAGTTGTGCACATATTGTGCTGGCAGAAAAACAGCAGAAGCAATTGTGCTGGCAGAAAAACAGCAGAAACAATTGGAGCGGAATGGGCGAGATCCATGGAATAACGACAAAAATGTCTTGTGCTGTTGGAAGCCAGAAAAGGAATGGAAAAACAAATCCTTATTTCTATAGAATATTTTCCTATCTAGCACAACCTTAACCCACAATAATTAGCCCACATTAGAGCATGAAACAATCTTGGATTTAGATAATATTCACATATGCAATTCATAGAGGACATACTGTCTAGCCCCAAAGCTAACTGCTACAGCTAACAGGTAACTGTATTGGCTCTACATTCGCCTTCAAGCACGAAACAATCCATAACTGGAAATAACATTTTTACATACACCTAGACAGTAGTAACAGTGATGTTAGTGATGCTCTAACATACATTAAACAATGAAAAAGTGTTAACACTAACCCAGACATCCAAGAGATTTGTATGTTTTGAGTTTTTCTTTCTTATAGACACCTGGTTTTTCCACAAGGTATATGAAGATGTCACTTTGGCCATTTAGTTGGATACTTGACCCATTGACCTGACAGTGAGTACAGGGCAGGAAACCTCATCCCATTGCTAAGGCTTAGCTTATAAGAGTACAACAATCTGACCTCCGTTGGCAAAACCATTAAAACTACTGGAGAAGACGTCCGGATGACCCATATTCCTATATTCCTACACCTGACACCACTATGCTAACTGTAACTGTCGTCTATACAAGCTCTGATTTTTCACAGTATGGAGTTCTTCTTTCTTCAATACGTATGAATAACATGGTCAAAAACAATGGTCTAACTACAAAAAAAGGAAAGAGGTGAGTATAAAGATGTTTTTCTCTGGGTCGGTATTAAAATTGCAGGGCTCAAGGCCTATAAATAAGCTCTTATTAAACCTGAAGTAAATGAGTCAGACTGAACTGGATTTTGTTTACTCTTGTGAGCAATTGCTAATGCTAGGACAGCACAACAGGTGCTAGTTTAGCTTATCTTTCTACCTATTCTCCTCAAAGCATGCTACCTCTGGAGCCTTGGAAACAGACACCATGGCAAACATAACTATTGTCCATAATGTTTTTTCTAGGACCTTTCCTTTAGCCTACCACTTAAGAGCAAAGGTTATAACCTTGGCTAAACAAAAGCCTCATGCCTGCAGCCATTGTCAAGCTGCTATTAGCCTGCATGCTATAACTCACCATTTGAGCCTCAAGTCTCCAGGAAACAACCCAAGGGAATGTCTGCTTAATGCAGAGAATTTTAGCTCAGGTCACTTTTAATTGGTGCGTACAACCTTTGTTCTTTGTCTTCTTGGCAGTCATCTACTCAAAACTGCGAGTTTGTGATAGCCTCAGAGACACATAGAACAATGTTGGCTAAAAAGAAGAATAAATTCAACCTTGATGCATCTAAGAACAACATGTGATTATTTGGCCTGTCTGCTTAAAACCCTTGAGAACTGCCTCAGGATACATGTTATGGTGTGTGTGTGTGTGTGTGTGTGTGTGTTGTGTGTGTGTGTGTGTGTTTCTTTAGTAGTTCACAGAGGTTCACATTCAATAGTCAGTTTTGCCATGACCTAAGTTCCAGAAATTTGGCACCAGGAAAATAAAGAAACAGTGTTTCCAAGGAAAAGAAGCCCATAAGGCTCTGCTGAATATGCCGTCCAGCCCTAGTATGTACAACCCAACACACAACACAATAGCACAAATACATCAAGCATCCTGGAAACTGTTTAGTATAACCCAGTATAATCTCCTGCTGCATCTACTGCACATTACTGTATGGTTATATGGTTAACAATAGGAGAAAGATAGATCATTTTTCTTACAAGATAGGCAAATGCACATCTGGTATTATGCTTCCACTAGACTACATAACCAAAGTGGCAGTTCAGTAGAATGGAGAGTGAAATGTAATCATTAGGAACAATTATTGTTTCCTTCACTGGCTATCAAAACACTGTTCTTGTGTATACATAAATGTGTACATTAAGGATGGACAATGTGGAAAAACACTAAGATTGCAATGACTGAATCTGCAATAGACCCTGCATCTTAAAACTGCACAAGTGAATCACTAATGTAACATGGTCAAAAAACAGTCTGCATTATTTTTGACCAAAAGAATTTACTTTTGTTGAATTACACTACCATTCAAAAGTTTGGAATCACTGTTTTCAATAATACAAAACCAACTGATACATGTATAAAATTATTACAGTATGATGCTGACACTCCACAAATTCATAGGTTCTAACTAACTGGTAGAAATCTGTAAAAAATGAAGACATTTTAGATGTGTCCAAATCAACAGAACTGTAGATCAAGGGTTCCCTTTTGCAACTCATGGCCCACACAACCTACCACAATAGCTTATGCGGCTCACAAGAAGATTCAACCAATCTGGATCCACTTTCCTAAAAACATCTTAGTGTAACGATCATCTTAACTAGTGGAGAGGGCATTCTCTGTGATGCTCGCCCTACTATTTAAAAAAACATCTTTGTGCTAAGATCCACTGGGGTAACCCAGCCGTGATTGTTTTTTTCTGACTACCTAATGAGATGCAGCTACGAAGTGTTGGATATCAGGCCACAAGTTGCAAACAAAAATTATGATGCATACTCACTATCTTTGGCTTCAAAGCTCTGTTTGAAAAGACATTTAAGCATTCAACACAGAGTGGTGTCTACTTGTTTTCAGTTCCCACACATGTGAAGCCTAGCGCTAGGTACACTCACTGCTGTGTTTTCTTTGTTTATGCTTTACTCTCACTTTTCCCAGTCTGAGATATTGGCTGCTTCACTTGTCGACCACGCAGCCTTGGGACCTTTCCTTTTGTAAGACTTCTTTTTAGCCATTCATCCATGATGGATGAATTCCATATGACAGTGAAGTGAAACATTTTACATTGACTTGCAATGAAAATATAGACAGGATTAGCTAGCATTTTGCCAGACCAATCAACAAGCTTAATCATTTTTTTTTATCACAAATAATTCAAAATAATAAGATTTGTAATATTTAAAACCATGTCTATATTGGAACAAAAAAAAAAAACTTGTGGCCAATGGCCCCCAGCAGTACCACCACGGCCTACTGGGGGTCACAGCCCACAGGTTGAAACCACTGCTGTAGAATATTCTGTATAACTGGGAAAGCTTCATAACATCAAGAATGAAGTTATAATAATATTAACATCCAGATTGCATCATATTTGAAAAGTGTTGATCACATGTCAAGGCAGATATCCTAAGAATTATTGTAAATAAATATTTAATGATAGATATCTTTAGCCTCTATTTTTACTATTCTTTTCTCTTTTTTTATGTATTTTCTCGTTGCTTAGCCTGGCTTGATGTCAACTAGTTTTCAACACTTGAATTGTTAATATGGTAAGTGGTTCCAAACCTTTCAACAGTAATGTACATTAACATCTTGATTCCTTGAAACAAAACCACTCATCTGGAATTGTGATTAATCAAGATCCTCACATCACACTGGAAAAAATTGTTGGTATTGTTTATAGAGCTCATTTGCATGTCTACTACTATTGCCTCCTATGATAATCAATGCAAATAGCAACGATGCAAAGGCCATTATGGTAATAATGATTGGCCGAACAAACATGCAGCCCTACCACCATTGCTTTGAGCAAAGGATCGTCATCCTCTATGGCTGAAATCTGGTTAACAGCACTTCCTGGACAAGTGACCTGATCTAAATTCTGACCCTTATCTCAAATGAGGCCCTTCTAATGATTTGGTTTCAGGAGTCCAGAAACAGGCTGGCGGCTACGAAGACAAACGAGCCTCACTGTGATCCTTGTAATTGATACTTCTCTGCCAGGTTTGAGCCATGCCTCTCCAGCAGAGCATACAGCCAGCAGATGAGATGGAGAAATGAGAGCTCTCCTGAATGCATTTAGATGCCCTGTTTTGATTTGCTCAACTGAAGCAAGGAGAAG